GAAGAGATGATTTAAAATCATTTAACATTTGTTGTTTGAAGTCAAACATTTCCTGGTTTCAGATTATTTGTTGACGATTTTGCTCCATTTTACTTTTTTATGTCAAAATCTTTTCGGGTTCGGACAAAACAAGACGTCAGAAAACATTTGCTCCGGGAACTTTTTGTCCTTCAGATCAGATGATTCGTTGAGAAACTCTTCTCTTTTAATAATCTTCTCTTTTTCCTCCCTCTGTTTCTCCACCTGTCTCAGTCTGCTCCCAGTTCTCCAAGGGAGTGTACGCCATCATGGGCCTGTACGACCGGCGGACGGTCAACATGCTGATGTCGTTCTGCGGCTCCCTGCACGTCTGCTTCGTCACGCCGTCCTTCCCCGTTCAGACCAACAACCAGTTCGTCCTGCAGCTGCGGCCTCAGCTGCAGGAGCCGCTCATGGCTCTGCTGGAGCAGCTGGACTGGAGCAGGTTCGTCTACATGTACAGCTCCGACTCAGGTGAGGACACAGACTCATCGGTTTCTCACCCGTCGCCATCATTTCTAAATCATAGGAGGACGTCTTTGTGTCTTGTGATTCCCTGAATATGTTCCTGGAGAACAACATGGAGAACAAACTGAAAGGCCCGGTGTAGTTTCTTCCTGCCGCCTGTGATCGGATGTTGGTCGTTGGTTTGTCGGTGCTTCTTCCATCTGCCCAAGAAGCATCGGTGTGCGTCTATCTGCTCGAATAAAACGTAACTGTCGGCCTCTGTCTAATGTTACTGCTCCTCAACATCTGTCGGGGAGATGTTTGCTGTTTGTCGGAGGCGGAGGAGTCTTCCAGACACCAGGAGCTTAAAAACGTAGAAACGGTAAAAGAGAAGAGAAGATGAAGCCACATGTTCTCTACTTGTACTTTATATAAAACAAGAACCAAACTTTCACAGAGTGTTTGGAGTGAAATCAGTTCAGAGTTAAGGAGGAAACCAGGAGAGTCCGTGTTTAAAGGAGGAAACATCTTTACTTTAAACACGAGAACCAGTTCAACATGATGTTTTATGCAATTTAATAAATCAAGTCCTCAAACACCCACAAACCTGTCGATGCTCTTAACCCTGAAGTCCGACCCAGCAGCAGGAAGGTGTTGAGGAAGTGAGGAGGATTCAGAGGAAGAGAGTTGAGGAAGTAAAGAGAGGAAACAGAAACAGGAGGAACATTTTGTTTTATTCAGTTCCTGCATCGTCTTCACGACAGTGTGACGCTCTCAACTTATCTGGCTGCTGGTAAACAGACTCTGCAAAGCTGTTTAGTGTGTGTGTGTTTAAGTGTGTGTTTAAGTGTGTGTGTCTGTGTGTGTGTGTGTATTGACACTGCTAACATGACCATGTATTACATAACAAACGTACTGTACACACACGCATACACACACACGTACACATACGTACACACACACACGCACACACACACAGATAAAGAAGTTATCGACGCTGACTCATCCCATAATTATCGCTCTGTCTCGTTACCATGGATACAGCCTTGCAGAAGAGGCCGTCCTCCGTAGTGACTGACAGCTGCGCTCTGACGTGGTGTTGTGTTTCGGAGATATGCTCCTCCTCCTGTGTGTGGTTATTTGGACACGTAGTGACTTTTAGTTTCCAGACAGAGTGTTAT